TAGACTCCCTAGGATAGAATTGCTCTAATAACACTTTTGTCACGACCTAAATCGATGGGCCGCGACGGGCACCCGGTATCTTACTCAACCGAGTACCAACATAACGTATCTTTTCATGTCATACTATCATAAATAACTGAGCCGGAGAGGTTGCCGAGAAATAGGTAGAATACAACAGGTAATGTCAACATATACATAAGACATATGGGCCTCTAAGACCAAAATAACCACTTGAACACTGAACATAGGCCGACAAGGATATACAATCTTTTACGTACATGACATCTGTCTACAAGCCTCTAAGAATACATAATTTTCATAAAAGTCGGGACATAGTCCCGCCATACCAAACAATACATATCTAACTCATACTAACCAAACAAGCAACTTCGAAGCAAATGGAGCGCACCAACATCTCCGCTGAGCTGATATCCTACTTGGAGGGCTCTCGACCTGTCTATCAGGACCTGCAGGCATGAAACGCAGCGTCCCCAGGAAAAAAAGGGACGTCAGTACGAATAATGTACTGAGTATGTAAGGCGTATAAATAAGTACATAACAGACATGGAGGAAATATATAGTAAATGACTCCACCTGTAAGTTTGAATAACTTTGTAAACCATGGAATAATTAGAGTATCATGTATATGCGTATGGATGTCATGTCGTGCATAGGCATATGTTTCATAACATCATCAGCCTCTGAGGGCATCCCATCATATCATCTTGGCCACTGTGGGCAAAATCATCAACGTATACCAGCTGATCAGGTGGTGGTGCATATATAATACCGTAACCATTTCCCATATCCCATATACATATATTTACATATATACGCGTATATAACGCCATCTGGTCATGGGTCAATGCACATGTATAAATGGGTGAAATGCACGAAAAATACGTAAAAATCTCAATATTCCTTCCGGATAAACCTTTTTTTTCAACTGCGTATTATTATGAGACCCATGAACAGAAGATAATAATAATTCTCATGAGGAATCAAGAATATAGACAGCCCTAGTATCTCTATGAATAGAGAAATGTTTTGGAAACTGTGCGTTTTCTTGTTTCTTCAGTATAATTTGGACCATGCCAAAAGAAAGAAGGGATGACCTTAACATACCCGAGTAAGGAAAACTCCGCATAATATTCCATTAGAGAACCTTCGTGTGACGACCCGGCCGGCCGTCTCATGAGTTACCACTCCATTTCCCCCCTTCTGCTTCTATTTGCCTTGTTTATTGGTTTTATAGGTGACCGGGTTGGTTGGCTCGGGTTCGGAAAAGTTTTGAGAAGGTTTGAGATACTTAGTCTCTTTTAAGAAGGCTTAAGTTGGAAAAGTCAACCGGATGTTGACTTATGTGTTAGAGGGCTCGGATGTGAGTTCCGATGGTTCGGATAGCTTCGGAAGATGATTTGGGACTTAGGAGTGTGATCGAAATGTGTTTTGGAGGTCCCGAGTAGATTTAGGCTTGAATTGGCAAAATTGAGTTTTTGGCGTTTTCCAGTTGTTAGGTGAGATTTTGATATAGGGGTCAGAATGGAATTCCGAAAGTTGCAGTAGCTTCGTTATGTCATTTGGGATATGTGTGCAAAATTTCAGGTCATTCGGAGGTGGTTTGGTTTACTTTTTGATCAAAAGCAAAATTCGAAAGATTTTAGAACCTTAGGCTTGAATTCGATGTGTTTTGGTGGTTTTGATGTTGTTTGAGGTGTTTTGAAGGGTGGTATAAGTTTGGATAGTAGTATATGATGTGTTCATGCTGTTGGTTGAGGTCCCGGGGGCCTCCGGGTGATTTCAGATGGTTGACAGAGAGTTTGGGAGTTTGGAGGAGCTGCACATTTTTTGCTGCTTCTGTTGTTCCCGCACCTGCGGATTGGCGACCGCAGGTGTGACGCCGCAGATGCGGAAGATAGGTCGCAGAAGCGAAAAATGGCTGGGAAGGCAGGAACAGCAGAAGCGGTTGTGGGACCGCACCTGCGAAGGCGCATGTGCGGAATGTTCATCGCAGATGCGGAAAGTGGGGACTTAAGTGAGGACCGCAGATGCGGTGGTCTTGATCGCAGAAACGGTGCCGCAGAAGCGGAAATTGGGCCGCAGATGCGAAATCCCTGGGCAAGAGGGTATAAGTTATTTCCTTCGCGATTTTCAGAGTTATTTCGCCATTTTTAGTCGGTTCTTGGAGATTTTGAGGCGATTTGAAGAAGAAGTTCAAGGGGAATTCATTGAGGTAAGGTTTTGGAATATGAAAACTCATTTCTATGGTATTAATTCGCGGATTAGAGCTGTAATTAAGGGTAAAAAATTAGAGAAGCTAGGGCTTAGAAACCTAGACCTTTGATTGAGGTTTTGAAAGACCATTTGTGGTCGGATTTTGGAACTTTGGATATGTATGAACTCGTAGGGAGATAAGAATCTAATGACGTAAAATTTATCAAATTCCGAGACGTGGGCCTGGGGGTCAGGTTTTGGTAATTTCGGGAATTGTGTTGTTTTTGATTGGTTTTGATCGGAGCATCCGGAGGCTGATTCGAGGGGAAAAGGCATTGCGAGCTAGATTTTGGGCCGGATTGAGGTGAGTAATGATTTTAAATGTTGTCCTGAGGGTGTGAAACTCCGGATTACATAGCGTTCGGCTATGCTGAGGTGACGCGCACGCTAGATGACGAGCGTGGGGTCATGCACCGTTGGGGATTGTGACTTAGTCCATCCCGAATGACTGTTTTACTGCTTATTTGACTGCAAATTGTCTGTTATTATCATGTTTTGGGCTAAATGCCATATTTGGGCTTCGTGCCAACTGTTTAGACCCTTAGGGGATTTTTACTGATATTTTCCTTACTGTTTGATTTCATACTTGTGCTCAGTCATGCCATATTTTACTGTTTTCAAAACTCAGCCATGTTATTCTGTTTTAAACACCTTATATGATATTTTTAAAGATATTTTGAACTGAGCTTCATGTTTACTGTTGCCCGAGGGGCTTATGAGATTCTGACTGAGTAAGGCCGAGGGCATGTGTTGTGAGGATACTTTTGGGTCGGGCTGCACGCCGCAGCAGTGATATACTGATTATGATAATGAGGCCGAGGGCGTAAGATTGTATGCCACGAGGTGGCTTGAGATTGAGATGAGGCCGAGAGCCTGTTTTATTATGCCACAAGATGGCTTGATATTGAGCTTGGGCGGTAAGGGGCCCCTCCCGGAGTCTGTACACCCCCAGTGAGCGCGGGTACCTGGTTTGTGATGTGATATAGCCCGAGGGGCTGGCATTGTTCTGTGGTATTGCCCTAGGGGCTGATTCTGTTGTTGTTATTGAGCCCGAGGGGCGGTTCTTGCTTGTTTACCTTTCTCGCTGCTTTTCCTTTAATTGTTTAACTGCTTAAAAGGCGTTTTATGAGATTTCACTATTTAATTGTGTTTACTGATTTTGTTCTGCCTCTTATAGCTTATTGTTGTGTTTAACGTGATTTTATATCGCTTAGTCTTCATTTATTGTTATTACTCACTGAGTTGGAGTACTCATTTTACTCCCTGCACCCCTGTGTGCAGATTCGGGCACTACAGGTCCTGCTACTGAGGGTTGATAGTTTCCAGCAGATCTTCGGAGATTTACTAGGTAGCTGCTTGGCGATTCGCAGCCCAGTGCATTCTCCCTCTATTTTATTTCCTTTCTGATTTAGCTATGTAGTAGTGGAGTAGATTTTCAGACTTGTAGTATTGTTTTAGATGCTCATGACTGGTGACAACTCGATGTCGGGCTGTGTTGATTTTTAATTCCGCAACTTGTACTGTTATATTGGGATTTTATTGCTGTTAAAGACTTAGTATTTAATATTCTAATTGCTTAAAGTGAATTGGAAGTGTGTCGGCTGGCCTTGTCTTCACGAGAGGCGCCATCATGACCGGGTTTGGGTTTAGGATCGTGACACTTTGTTGATTGAACTTAGAACTCAAAAAAATCGGATTAAGCTTCTGCTTTCTGAATCCTTGAACGAAATTTGTTCTTGCTTCTTTGAGATTTATAAATGAAATTTGGCCATGGATTCTTTGAAATTTTTGACGAAAATGTTCCTGCTTCTAACGTTTTTGGTTTGAACCAAAGACAGAATGCTTTTGATCTTTAACAAGGAATTGATTACAAGGATTTTGTTGGAAATTTTGAAACTTGGCGTCTGCTTGGAAAGTTGAATTTAGGATGAAAGAGTTAAATTTCATTCTCACTAAAAAATGAACTAAGCTTTTTGAAAGACCAAGCTTTTAAAACGACAAAGCTTTTCTTGTATATCTTTAGTGACTTACACGTTTTAGCCACTAAGCACATATGACTAATTAGTCATATGTTTGAATGGTGGCCTACTGCCACGTGGCAAGTGGGGTGGAGATTATTAATCTTTACCTATTTATTAATTAACTGGGTAATGTCTCGTTACCCGTAATTAACCAATTACCCGCATAATTTAAAAATTGCCCCAAATTACTTATAATTGTACTTATCGTTAATATTCTTTTTATACATTATACTACCGTGGTCATATGGTATCTTACATGGTACCAGTTCATAATTATCGGGTATTATCGCTCGACCCGTATTTTATCCCAAATGCCAAACTTGGACGAAAATTCGTTTCCTTTGACCTGCTTCCCCTCTCACCTTAACGAATTTACTTATCATTGTTTGAAATAGCATAATCCTTATAATCTCCGAATAATCTTTTCCTTGGACTGATGTCAATTACCTTACGACAAATTCAACGTACAATACTACAGAGTGCAACATCATCGTAATGTAGTACTGCGGGAGGTGACTTCTCATTTTTGGGCTCTCATTTACTTATTTATGGCGTATTTGCATGTACGAAAATATGGGGTGTAACAAGTATGATGATCCCCAGTTGCTTGTCCTTAAGGACATGATGCAACAAGATGGTTCTAAGGAGGTGACTTTTGGTGATGATGGCGTGTTGCAGGTTTAGGGCAAGATTTGTGTTCCTAATATGGATGGGTTGAGAGAGTTGATTCTTCAGGATACTGAAGAAAGACATTGTTCGGTATGTTTCTCGGTGTTTGATTTGTCAGCAGGTCAAGTATGAGCATCAAAGACTAGGTGGATTCTTCAAAAGATTAAGATACTAGAGTGGAAGTGGGAGCGCATGAGTATGGACTTTGTGGTAGGTTTGCCATAGACATTGAGGATATTTGAAGATGTTTGGGTCATTCTGGACAGACTGACCAAGTATACGCATTTCATTCCAGTCATGACTTCCTACACTTCAAAGCAGATGGCTAAGATCTACATCAGGGAGATTGTCCGCTTGCATAGTGTGCTATTGTGGCACTTTGTTTACTTCATATTTCTAGAGGGCTATTTAACGTGAGTTGGGCACAGAGGTTGAGTTGAGTACTATATTTCATCTTCAGATGGATGGGCAGTCCGAGTGGACCATTCTAATTTTAGAGAATATGTTTAGAGCTTTTATCATAGATTTTGGAATCTAGTGGAATCAATTTCTTCCATTAGCAGAATTTGCACACAATAACACTACCAATATTGTATCCTAATGGCTATGTGTAAGGCCTTATATGGGAGGTGATGTCGTTCTGCTATTGGTTGGTTTGAGCCGGGTGAGGCTAGGTTATTGGGCACAAATTTGGTTCGTGATGCTTTGGAGAAGGTGAAATTAATTTAGAAGTGGCTTCATACAACGCAGTCCAGGAAAAAGAGTTATACTGATAGGAAGGTTCCGGATGAAGCTTTCATGGAGGGTGAGAAGTGTCTCCTTCAAGGTTTGCCTATGAAGGGTGTGATGAGATTTGGGAAGAAGAGAAAGTTGAGCCTTCAGTGCATCGGTCCTTTCTAGGTGTTGGAGAGATTTTGTGAGGTGGCCTACAGACTTGCTTTGCCACCCAGATTATCAAGCGTTAATCCAGCGTTTCATGTTTCCATGCTTCGGAAATACTATGAGGATCCATCACATGTTGGATTTCAACTCGGTGCAGTTGACAAAGATTTGACTTATGATGAGGAGTTGATAGCCATTTTTGATAGGCAAGTTCGAAAGTTGAGCTCAAAGAATATTGCATCGGTGAAGGTTCAGTTGAGAGGTCAAGCAATCAAGGATGCAACTAGGGAAACCGAGCATGATATGCGGCGCAGATATTCTCACCTTTTTTTATAACCCGTGTATGATTCTAAACTCGTTCAAGGACAAACATTCATTTAAGAATGGGAGAATGTAACAACCCGACTGGTCGTTTTGTGTATTTGATCCCTGTTCCCCTATTCGATGCTTCCCCCGCATGTAGTTATTGTTATGTGACTTACTGCTTTGGTTTCGGGAATGTTTTGGAGTGAATTGGAGCACTTAGTTTCATGGTTGGAAGCTTAAGTTGTAAAAGTTGACCAAGGTTTGACTTTGGAGTAAAAGGACTCACATTGGTGATTTGATGGTTTGAAGAGGTTCGTATGGTAATTTTGGACTTAGGCGTATGTTCGAAATTAAATTTGGAGGTTCCTAGGTTGATTTGTGTCTAATTGTCGAAAGTTGGAAATTTGAAGGTTTGAAAGGTTAACAGTTATGAGCAAGAGTTGACTTTGAGACTATCGCGGTGAGATAGTTGTTCGGATGTTGAAATAGGGTTTATGTCATTTGGAACTTCTGTGCAAAGTTTGGTTGCATTCCGAGTTGTTTGATAGGAATTGAATGCTTTGTTTGAATTTTCAGGTTTATCAACTTAAGAGATTGATCTTGAGCGACGATTCGTGATTTTGATGTTAATTTCAGTGCTTAGATCATTTAGATAGGTTTGAGGAAGGTATTAGGACTTGTGGTGTGATTGGACGAGGTCTTAGGGGCCTCTGGTGTGTTTCGGGTGAGTTTCGGAACATTTTGAAGTTGGATGGCAGTTTTGGTTTGGTGTGATCGTAACTGCGAGGTTTTGCCTGTGATGACACCCAAATCCACTCATCAAAGAGTAAGCGAACACGGTCGTATGCAATATAATTTACTCAACTATGAGTCGGGGTCCAATCCCACACCGAACAATATTTAGGTGATTAGGCAAGTAAGAGAATTATCACTTATTATGCTAAGCCAAACGCTAAAGGGGTTTTGAGAAAATGATATATCTAAATGCAAAAGTATAAACTGACCTAGAAAGCATGTAAAATGATCAATGGCTACAAGCGTGGATACAACGGGGAATTATACTCAAGTATCGATCCAATGCGTTTCACAATTTTACAAATATGAGAGTGCTTATGTTAATTAGCCTCAGATTATAATTCAGTATTAGCTTCTTTCGAAGAATAATAATACTTCAGAATTGAATTATCCCTAAAATTATTAAGAGATTAAGTGCACCTGAATATGGCTACAAGTAGTCCAATCCTATTCTCAGGTAGAATTTATAATAACGTCGATGAAGGCGTGTAGGTGCACTATTCCGTGGTGGGGATTGTAACTTTCCATAAATTTCCCATTTGTCACTCAACGACGGAACCTTGCTTATTTCTTTCTTTGAGGATCGACGAATCGAATGATATTTCTGTTCCAATTTTTGCCTCTTCTTCTCCCTCTGAATCAAACTTTTCCTTGCCATAATGGTTGAATTCCTATTAGTATCCATGATACAAGTCGAATCCTAGATGTAGAAATAGAAGAAGGTGGACCCCCTCTCCGTCGAAAGAAATGAGATTATCGTG